TACCTCCTCTGGTCTAGCCAGACTTGCAAGATCTAATTCGAGTCATGGTAGTGGGAGCGGGGAGGAAACCTTTAGGAACTAGAGGAAAGTTGTATATATAATTTGGTGGCAAACCTAGGTTGTGCCCATATTTGGTATACCACTTAAGAGCATCAAGGTCACATTAAAATTCTTTTGCTCTTTTGTATAAATAGTTTTTATTTAGAAAGTGTACCTATGTAAGCCTGTTCTTCTTTAAATGAATAGTGTAGGAAACCTTATGAAAGAAATTTTATAACCTCATTACTAACATAAATTATAACAGTAAAATCCAGTGTGCTTAAAACCAAGATATTTTCAAATTATTTAAAACTTCAAAACCGAACAATTCAAACAGTGTCACTTAATATAAAAATAATCTTAGATTAGTTTTCTGAATCAAAATTAGTTATCTCAACAGGAATTTAATTGCTGTGGTACAGAAGTTTGTCTTTTGTGCTTAAGTTTTTCCTTCAAATTGTTGTGAATTATTTTGATAGTATAGTTAATTCAGATGGTATTTCCCTTTCACTTGTCTGTGGGTTTTTGTGTACATATTAAATTTGTTATTTTTGTCACAATGATAAGGAAATAAAACATAATGAATTTCAATGTGATGGTACAGAAAGGAGAGCAAATCCTGCTGTCACTTAATAGTGCACGTGACCAGAGTTTTCCTTGCTGCTCAATACTGTTGTGGTTAGTGCCATGGAATTTGTTCCGATTCACAGCAACCCTGTAGACAACAGAAGGAAGTATTCCAGTCTTGTACCAACTCACAATCCTTGGTTAGGTTTGAGAGTCCATTGTTGGCAGCCACTGTATCAGTCTATCTTGTTGAGGATCTTCCTCTTTTTCACTGACCCTCTAGTTATTAATACTTAGAAATCCAGTTTTATACAAACTAAGCCCTACAGTCAGGAACTCGGTAGAGGCTTAAAATTAATACAACTTATGACTTTTCTGTTATCCCTCTTGGTGCCTTTGCAGTTTTACTGAGAGATTGAATAGCTACAAAAAGATTTCACACTTTCCAACTTTCTGTGTGGTCTTATTCTCCTTCTGCTTTTAAAATATGTCTTCAGAATTTACTAGGATTTTTCTTTTAAACTTAAAACCAAGCACCTGGTTACTGGGTTTTGTTTTGTATTTGATTTCATGTGTTTGAAAAAAAAGATCATTTTTACACTGTGATATTTGGCATTTTCATGTCCCAATTCACAAGGCAGTTTGCTCCCATAGTTTGTTGGATTCCTTTGTGTGTACCCTATCTAGATTGAGGCTTTTGCATTTATTTCTCCTTCTAGAAATATGTGTCAAAATCACTTTTGTTGATGACCCTCCTTCCTTTTGCATTTGGTTTCCACTTGTTTTTCTAGTTTTAACTACAAAAGGGTCTAGGGTAGTGGTTCTCAACCTTCCTAATGCCGCTACTGTTTAATACAGTTCCTCATATTGTGGCCCCCCAACCATAACATTGTTTTCGTTGCTAACTTCATAACTTTAATTTTGCTGTTATGAATCGGGTGACTCCTAAGAAAGGATCATTCGACCGCCAAAGGGGTTGCAACCCACAAGTTGAGAACTGCTGGTCTAGAGGAGGGAAGAGTGTGATTAACTTGTGTACTTAATGCCATATTATCAGTTGTGTTTAAATTAGCTTTTTATTTTGTTGTGGTGCATTGATATAACTGTCCTGCTTCAATATCTTTTTTGTTTCCCAACATCATTCATACTTCATGTTTAAACTAGGAATTTTGAGTTCTAGGCGTTTAGGGTTTTCTTGTCTCTTATTGTTAGTAATTTCAAAAGTCATTTTTCAAAAGTAATAATTGCAAAAAATATATTTAGTACAATTTCTGTTATTTATTCACTTCTTTTTTTTTTAAACATTTTATTAGGGGCTCATACAACTGTATCGCAATCCATACACACATCAATTGTGTAAAGCGCATTTGTACATCATTCTCAAAACATTTTCTCTCCACTTAAACCCCCGACATTAGGTCCTCATGTTTCCCCTCCCTCCCCGCTCCCCCCTCCCTCGTGAGCCCTTGATAGTTTATAAATTGGTATTTTGTCATATCTTGCCCTGTCCGACGTCTCCCTTCACCCACTTTTTGGTTGTCTGTCCCCCAGGGAGGAGGTCACAGATAGTTCCTTGTAATCGGTTCCCTCACTTCTTTATTTTCTTACAACCTACTTGTGTAATTTCTTTAGAAAAAGATATACAATGGTGATATACATTCATTGTCATTTTGTGCCTGAAGATGTTTTTCTTAGCCTACCATGGTGGCCATTTTTGGGCAGGAATTAGAATGCTTTCCCTAGGTTTTGTGTGTGTGTGTGTGTGTGTGTGTGTGTGTGTGTGTGAGAGAGAGAGAAAATAAGTCTTTTCTCAGTTTGCTCTGAGTCTTTGTTCTTTTATTATGCATTGTAATAAAAGAAACTACCATACTAGCCCTACCTTCTGGAAAATTTGTAATCTCAGGTGAACCAGAGTCTCTCTGGGCTCCCCCAAAAGTCCCTGGTTAGTTATGATTTTTTGAAGTGATCCAGTAGGAAGGTTAGTTCACTTTGCGTTGAGCAGGGCAACAACACTAAAATCTATGTCATAGGCAGAGCTAATTTTGTTTAGATTTTCTGAGGTTCTTTTTTGAACTAATATTTTTATTCTAAACTCTCCAACTACCAAATGAAACAGGTTTTCCGTATTTGTCTAAGGGAAAGAAGACTTACCTCACAGCAATAATGATCATGTATAGTATCTGTTCACAACATGTGCATTGATTTAGTGTTTTTCATAATTTTAACAAGGGCTGTAGCCTTGAGAATGCTTGTAGTTAGCGTTTATAATTCCAGTACTGTCTACAGAAAGCAGGATCGAGTTCGTTGGCCTGCACCTTGCAGAATGTCCCGAGTGTTGTTAGATGGTCAGTAACACCTTGAATGAACTGGTATTGTGAAAATAGATGTTTCTTTCATTTGTCATAACTTAGAGATATAGAAATACATCCTTGTTCATGATCATTTCAGTGAGGTAAAAAAATTAAAAGGAATCATGGAAATAGAACCACTCTTAAAAAACAAAAGGGGAACATTTTATATTTTAAGAGTTAGGAGCGATTAGGATGGAATTTACAATTTTTCTATGTTAATGAAAAATGTTAGAATGTAACTTTTGATTTGTTATGTCTAGCAGAGTTCATTTATATTTCTTGGCATTGTTTAGTTCTTTTCATCTAATGTTGGATTATGCTTTTGGTTTATTTTTTAAAGGATAAATACAGCTATTAGTTTACTTTATTATTTTATATGAAAGACTTGCTATTTTGGATATATATATATATAAAATGAAAATTTGGAATATACTATACCTTTCAGTAGTTCTATTTTATGTAAAGCTTGAAATGATATATAACTCTTGCCTGTGCTTTATTTATGCAGAATATCCTCCGAATCCTAAATCTAGAGCTCCCAGAATGCTGGTCATTAAGAAAGGTAATACAAAAGACTTACAGCTATCTGGATTCCCACTCGTGGGAAATCTTCAGTCGCAGCCAGTTAAGAACGGGACTGGTCCAAGTGTTTATAAGGGCTTAGTCCCTAAACCTGCTGCTCCGCCCACAAAAGTAAGTTCTAAAGTATTAAAAATGCCAATTTGACTTAGTATCAGTTTATTTACTTTTAAAAGAATGTTAAAATTTTGTGCCCAAGCATAGGGAAGGGATGCTGGTTCTGAAGTAGAAAGATTGACTCATTTTGTGCCATTAATTATCTGTTAGTGATGTAAATACTGTATATACTTGAGTACAAGCCGAGTATTTTTGTTTTTTAAAGCACATTTTTAATACAGTTTTTGTGTTGAATTAGGTGCCTTGGCAGATATTCGGGCCAGCTTAATACTCAAGTGTATATGGTATATGTTTTCTTGTATTGGTGGTAGTGAATGAATGTAGTACAATTTTTTATTTGCTAGTTTAAGTTTGGTTCATGCACTGTAAATGCTGTTGCCTTGCTATTCAGCTTTATGTTTTGAAACTTGCATTTGTTGTTCCTTAACATTGGTGAAAGAAACCTAAGGCGCATCATATTTGGAGGAAAAGAGAGAAAATGAAAGAAATCCTTGTAGAAGTGATTAAAATAAGTATTAGAAAAATAATTATTTTTACGAGCTAAATGTGTTCACCTTCAGATCACTCCCCCGCTTCCTTTTGATAACTAGTAATATTTGTATGTTTTTCTTTAGCCTACACAATGGAAAAGCCAAACTAAAGAAAATAAAGTTGGAACTGCTTTCCCTCATGAGTCTACATATGGTGTTGGCAACTTTAATACTTTCAAATCAACTGCCAAGAATTTTAGTCCATCAACAAATTCAGTGAAAGAGGTATGGCATTAACAATTATTCCTGAGGAATGTAATTATACTTTGTTTTTGATAATTTAGTTATAAATTAGAATAAATTTTCACATGTGAATGAAATATTCACACACCAAATAAAGCCACCTTGGTTAAGTAAACATTAAAATAAGATATTTTTGTTCAGAAAATTTATATACTTCTAAAAAATGTATATACTTCTATTTGCTAATAATTTTTGGACTACAGTATAGGGATTGTTTTAAAAAAATTTTAATGAAAATTTCCAAACTAAATGTAGAGAAAATAATACAGGTGAATGCAATCCACTCATTAATCTGAAATAAATATTGTGAAAACATACTATGAATTTAGCATTACTTTATAGTGATGAAAGAGTGAGATACATATTACATTAGCCTCTACTTTTGAAGGTGGTGGGCCTTTAATCAGTGCTAACACTGAGTTAGGGGAAGAAGACGAGTGTTGCTGTACTGACTCTACATATGCTCAGGCATGTTTTTCTCAGTTGACCAGGTGTTCTTTGATGACCAGTCTAGAGTCAAAGGATACGTGTGGTTATATTGTTATATCTGAATTTGTTTTGGATATCATACTGAAACTTTATGACTCCCTTATATACATTCCCCTACCCTCCTTTAAATGTAAGTTTATTGTCTTTGCTGTATAAATAAATGTACCTGCAAATGAGGTTACCATTTAACTATTGATAAGTAAATTGTTCAGTGCCATTGGTTTCATTTTCAGTTAATCTGGTTTCTTTTAATTTCATACTGTTTAATCATTGCATCAGAATAATTTTTGACTGATTGACATCATAGGTTATGTTTAAGGTGCATAGTATTCACAGGTACATTCTTTATTAGCCAATTTGTTATTTAATTAAAAGATAATTTTTGTAGTTCATGGAGTTTATGGTTTAAGGTGATGGTTTTGAGCAGTATTCTAGCTTCAACTGGGTCTAGTAAGCCCAGACTTTTTAAGAATTCTTTTTTTTTTTTTTTCCGACTTTTTAAGAATTTGAGTTCTGTTTCACATCTTACTTTCTATAGGATCCATCTATTGTGGCCCTAATTAGAATGGCCTTTAGTGATAGCAAGGAGCCTTCTAGTGCTGGTCTCCTATTGTTGAGGCACAGAGTTTTTTAGTACTTAGCTTTGTTCTCTTTTGCTCGACAGTAGATTACCCACATCAAAATACTGTGTTACACTTCTTTGTCATGGGTCAGCCATGGGACCACTTAGCCATGGAAACTTGGTATTTATTTCCTCATGTCTGTACCCTATAAGTAATCTAAAGCCACAATAAATAATCTAGGAATGATTAGCTACCCATAGCCCTTCCCTTAAAATATTACAATTCTATGATTGAAATTATAATTTTATTTGTGGGGTTGTGGTATTCTACTCTCAGGCAAAAGAGAAAATACGAATGAACCAGAATAAAACTACTACAGTACATACCACCTTTCCTTCTCCTTACACCTTCCATACAGATAGTCTCTGGTGAAATCTTTCCCTATCGATCTTGTGCATAAATAAAGTATATTACTTTGTGCTGTTATTAATTTCTAGAACTCTGTAGAACACCGTTTGCATGCTGCTTTTCTAGATAGTGCAGCATTACGGAAATATATAGACAGCTCCAGGCTCAGTTTTTAGAATGGTATCTAATTACATAGTTTGGAGGGTGGAAATAGGCTTTAAGAAAATGCTTTAGTTTACTAATATTCATTGAGAAAAAAAGGGTAAAAATCTTAAAATCCAGTTTGCATGTGAATAAAGGTAGAATAATGAGTTGTAAATTTGACATTTGTTTCTGCCTATGTATTTATCAATATTTCTGAATTTTCTCTTAGTGTAACCGCTCAAATTCCTCTTCACCTGTTGACAAACTTAATCAGCAACCTCGTCTAACCAAACTGACACGAATGCGTACTGATAAGAAGAGTGAATTTTTGAAAGCACTGAAAAGGGACAGAGTAGAAGAAGAACATGAAGATGAGAGCCACGCTGGCTCAGAGAAGGTAATTGAACTTGTAGTACCCTTGTCACGTCTGTCATTAACATCATTAAAATACTACTTGGTCAAATATTGTTTAGGAACTTTTAATTAATAATAGTTTTATCTCCCTAAAGTTGTGTAAGTAATACCTTCTTCCTTCTTAAATTAGATTTTTTTCATTGTGGTGATCCTACTGAAAAATAAATTTAAAAAAAGTCGTGTTCATAACATTTTTCTTATCTTACTTGCCTTTACCCTTTTGTTTTTGCTTTTGTTCTATAAATGTGAGCTAAAAAGTCCCTGTGTTTAAAATAATGCAAAAATATTGTCCAAAAGCTGTGGCTATGCTTGCTGTCTTAATTTTATATCCTTGTGCAAATAACTCCTAAATTTAATAATTTTAAGTATAGCATTTATATATTATCAATGGGAATCTAGATAAATTTATTTAAAAGTTTCAGTAATTGTACACCCATTCGTTACACACCTGCAAGCATGAGCTCCAACAACTCCAGAACCTTATGGGAGAACCAGGACCTGTGCTTAGGTGCCAGTATTCTCACCACTTCCACCCCCTCCTCACTGTTCGGGCAGCCCACACCTAAATTGCACTGAGACGATACTCATCTTTCATCTCCCTTGGCTGCACAGGACTGGGAGCCACCTCTTCATCTTCACCACCCTCCATGGTAGCTGTGGACCCTTGCCTGGCCCTACCTCTACTTGCTTGAGACCTTATGTATGTGGGCCTGCCAGGACATCGCCCCACCCCTTTCATGGGCAAGCAGAGACCTTTCAGACAAATAGGAATGGGAGGCCTCATCCTTTTTGTGGCCTGGTCATCATCTCTGCCTAAAGTACATTGTGTAGGGCGGCCCAGGAAGGGCATCTGGGCCCAGTTGCTACCCCATGTGGGGCCTAAACCATCAGAGATGCTACTTAGAAATTTTTCAGCGTAAATGCAAAACGTTGGATTATAAGATAATTGATAAGGAGTATTCTTTTTTTTTTCTTTCCCACCTTCCTAAAACTCAGGACGACGACTCATTTAATTTGCATAACAGCAATAGTCCTCACCAAGAAAGGGATATAAACCGAAACTTTGATGAAAGTGAAATTCCACAAGAGAATGGCAATGCCTCAGTGATTTCCCAGCAGATCATTCGGTCTTCAACCTTTCCACAAACTGATGTTCTTTCAAGTTCACTTGAGGCAGAACACAGGTCGGTAGTTATGTTTACTTTTTTTGCCTGCCATTTTCTGTAGTTAAGATTTGGATATTCTTCTGTGCTTATTAAGATATAATTTACATATCATACATTTGTCCATGTTCAGTGTGCATGTCATTGTTTTTAATACAGAATTGTATACAGGCACAGCATAACCTTAATTTTAGAACATTTTCATGGCACCCAAAAGAAGCCCAATTTGGGGGTGGGGGGTGGCGTGGAGCCCAAAGCCCAGTCTCGTTTCTCTATTGTAGACAACCACTACTACTATATTTTCTGTCTCTTCCTGGATAATTTCATATAAATAGAATCACATTGGTTTTTTGGGTCTGGCTTCTGTAACTTAAAAAGTTTTAGTGGTTAATCCATGATGTCTGTATCAGTACATTTTATTTCCAAATACAGCATTCCTGGTTTTATTGTGCTTTTCAGACAATGCTTTTTTATTTTTAAACAAAGATTTGTGGCAACCCTATGTCAAACAAATCTATAAGTGCCAATTTTTCAATAGCATATGATTGCTTTGTATCTCTTCTGTGTTAAATGTTCATGTTTTCATATTTCAGACTTTCATAATGCTATTTCATACTTTCATTTTGTTAGCATATTTCAGTATAAATATAAACAAGAATATAAAAATAAATGTACACAATATATAAACAAACTTCAGTACGCATTGATAAACTAAAACAGGTGATTAGCTTTACTGAAATACTCGCTTTATTCCGGTAATTGAAATAGAACTTGCATTACCTCCCAGTTATACCTGTAGTGTTCCACTTTACAACTGAATCATATTTTGTTCACCAAATAATGGATATGGGAGTGCTTTTACTTTTCTTACTATTGGGAATAATGCTGTTATCAGACATTTCATGTACCAATTTTTGTGTGAGTATATTTTTTATTTTTCTAGAGTGGCATTGCTGACATGTAGTTCTATGTTTTAACATTTTATAAAAGCCAAACTGTTTGCCAGTGTGACTGCATTCTCATCAGCAGTGTCTGAGGTCTGTTCCCTCACCTAGTTCCCTCATCTCCACACTGGCACTTGTTATTTAACCATAAACCTTTTTATTACATAAACTATTTAGTCGTAAATTATTTTGATTTTCAGTTATGTACTTCCCAGGTGGCTAACAATGTTGAGATTGGCAGGTTAGGCTTATGACTACAGAGGCAAAAAATCTTAAGTTTTGCTGGTCAGGTGGCATGCCACTGATAACCCTCCAGGATTGTTAGGAAATAAGGCAGCAGAAAAAATTCTCAGTGTCCACTTAAATAATACCAGCATTGTGACCTGAGTAAGGATATTATTGCTTTCCACCCTGACTTTATCCCATTTTGGATGCTTACGATTGATTTAAGATTGCATTGTGTTAGATCATGTCAGAGTGGTTTACTAGGTGTTAACTGCCAAACCAGGGAGAATCCTGGTTCAATCAAGTTGACAAAACTCTAACACCCTGGGTGATAGTCTTTTGGTGTCTTAGAAAAGAAAATCTTAGCTAACCCCCAAATCACAAAGATTTACTTCTATTTTTAAAAGATCCTTGTTATGGTTTTACAATTTTCCCCCTTAAGTCTATGGGTTTTGACTTAAGTTTTTTATATGGTCTGCAAAATCTTGAATTTATATATAGTTTCAATTTAAGATTTTCACTTAGCATGTCCATAAGGACAAAATATTTTTTCCCATTTTATTTCCTACTTTATTGCTAGTACCTGGAGTGTGCTTAAATTTGTTGAATAATTTCTGTTATTTTTTTATTTGGGGAGAATATTTCTATGTTAACTTTCTAATATCCCAGTCTACATTTCTCCACCTCATGAGACATTATAGCCTTCCTGAACCTCTTTAATCAGTTTCTTTCAGCACTTATTTGTACGTTATCTACGGATTATTATTTTGTTGCTAGATGTGACTGTGATTATTACAGGTGAGAGTGTAAGCATTTTGTTTAACTCTATCATTAATTAGGTGAAGGCTTAATAGAACAAATTTTTATCCAGTCAATAACCGTTACATACTTTTTTTTTCCATGTCAGTTGAAGGCACTCCCAGAGGGTGGTAATAGCATTTATACCACTTCCTCCCATTGTTAACTGTTTTAAGCATTTGTTTTAATTCTGTAATCTTCCCCTTCTAATTTGTATGCAACCGTTTCCTTAAAATAGTTTTATTCAGCCAGTGGTAAATGTCAGTGCCAATCTGATGAAACTTAAGTACTTGTATTTAGATAAAAATTTAGTACATAACATCTAACTAGGTTTTACACACACAAAAAAAATTCTACTTGTGTGTCAGATTACCATACTGTAGTGGCTTGGTTTTTTGGTTTTTGGGGTTTTTTTGATGCTGGAAGCATGATATTGGAAATGCCTGCAGGATTACCCATGGTGAATTTATTTCAGTGGAGCTTCCAAATTAAGAACAGATAAAGAGGAGAAAAATAGGCCACTTCTGAAGAACTGGCCGCTGAAAAAAACCATACGAACAGCAGCAGAACACTGTCAGATACAGTTCTGAGAGATGAGCTCCTTAGTTTGGAAGCTCAATACTGTGACTAGGGAAGGAGCTGTGTGGCCGTGAGCTTTTATGCTGGCTTGCACACAGGCGGGGGTACCCAAAACCCGCAATTTTTTTCCAAAGCTGTTTTGAAGTTATTTTTACAAAACAACTTAATTACCTTCAACATAACACCATTACATTTAATACATTTGTCAAATCTGCGATTTCATTCTTGGAAACATTTTTCAAACTCGTGTTTGGATGGCTGACAGCACCTCCCTTGTTTGCTTCTTCACCTCTTCTATGTCTTCAAATCGCTGTCCTTTTAAGTCCCTCTGCATTCGCAGAAACAAAAAAGTCACGTGGAGCAAGGTTAGGTGAGTAAGGTGCAAGGGGCAAGAGAGGGATGCTGGGTTTTGCCAAAAACTGGAGCACTGAGATGGCTGCATGAGCAGGTGAATTTCCATGGCAAAACCAGTTTCTTGTCTGCTACAAATTAGGCCATTTTTGTCGCACACTGTTGCGCCATCTTCAGAACCTCTAAATAGAAAGCTTGGTTAATAGCCTGACCTTGTGGAACAAACTCCAAATGCACTATTCCCCCTCACATAAAACAAACAAACAAACAAACAAACAAATGAGCGTCGTCTTGATCTTTGACTCACTTGACCAGCCTTTTAGGGTGAGGTGACGATGGCATCTTCCACAGGCTTGATTGATGGTTTGCTTTTGGGGTTGTGAGAATAGTACCATGTCTCCTTCCCGGTAATGGTGTTGGGGGGAAAAGTCTGAGTCACTTTGGAGCTGTTCTTTCAAAGCATGGCATTTTCCCACTTGACGCTCTTTTTCCTGGTCAGTCAGAACCTGAGGCACACATTTTGCGGCGACCCTCCTCATTCCCAAATCTTTCATTAAAATTTACTGAACCGAGCTCCAAGATAGTCCAGATAACTTCCCCATCTCTTCAGCGGTCTGTCTTTGGTCTTCAAGCACAAGTGCACGGATTTTGTTGACATTTTTGTCCTTTAAGGAAGTTGACATGTCGAGAACGAGGTTTGTCATCAATCCCCATTTTACCTTTTTTGAAACAAGAAAACCACTTGTACATTTGAGATGTTCCCACAGTGCTGTCCTTGTAAGCTGTGTTAAAAAGAAAACAACAGTTTCTGTGGCATTTTCCCCGAGCAAGAAACATAATTTCACAGCTGCGCCCTGTTAAATTGGTCATCACCCCCTAAAAAAAATGAGGTTGGAGGGAAACAAACGGCTTTTACGAAAAAAATTCACTGTGACTAGAGAGAACCTTCCCAGTAGATGCTACTAGGTGCACTAACTCAGAGCAAGTTGCTCAGTGCTCACCTACCGGGAAAAAGGGTTTTACGAAAGGTGGCGGTGCGGGGCGCCCCCACCCTCCCCCCCCTTTTATTTTTTTTCTGGGGACTTCTCTCTAGTTCTTTAGCCGTCCTTGCTTTCTAGGACGGTGTTTGTGTCCAAGGATGGCCCCATGTGAGCTAGTGACCCTGGGAACCAACCTGGGAGCTATCAGCACTATATCACTGATTTTGGGTCCACGAGACTCTGCACCCACTGCCCTATTATTTTCCTACATTCCTTTTTACCTTTCTGAATCAGTGGCCTTCAGTTACATGAGTCTGGCTCTGAGAAATTCACGTCTGGCACCCTTGTAGAGAGGTCTCTATCCCTTCATTTTAACAAGGCTGCTTCTTGTAAACAGTTTTCTCTTAATACAGTAGTCGCATGTGTTTCCTTACACATTTCCTCTATCGTGTAATAAATTCTCGATATAAAGTTCTTATACATACAGTAGCATGTGCTTTCTTATACATTTCTGTCATGTCATAAATTCTTGATATAATGTTCTTTCTTACACAGATGTGTGTCACTGGCTTTGTGTCTGTAGACAACCTCTCACTGTCTCCTCAAAATAGTGTCGACCTTGATGAGTGGATAGATTAAAACTTTCAAGACCTGTATTTATTAATGAGGTATAACTCAAAATGAGAAGAAATAGCTGTGAATATCCATTAATAATCAGAAACCGGAATGTACAAATAGGAATCTAGGACCATTGGAAGTTATTAATAATGGAAATAAAAGGCACAAAGATAGATAAACCTAGGTATTAATGAGCTTAAGTAGACTGATACTCCCCATTCTGAATCTGACAATAATGGTTTACTATATGGGGGAAAAACCACATTCAAAAGGAATGGCATCACATTGTCAAAAACAATAATTTAAGATCTCGAAGTCCGTTGCTGTCTGTGATAGGATAATATCTGTACACCTACCAGGACATGGTTTAAAATCAGGAAAGGTGTGCACCAGTGTTGTATCTTCTCACCTACTTATTCAATCTGTATGCTGAGCAAATAAGTACAGAGCTGGAATATATGGAGAAGAATGTGGCATCGGGATTGGAGGAAGGCTATTAACAACCTTTGATATGCAGATGACACAGCCTTGCTTGCTGAAAGTGAGGAGGAGTTGAAGCACTTGACGAAGATCAAGGATTGCAGCCGTCACTATGGATTACAACTCAACATAAAGACCAAAATCCTCACAACTGGACCAATAGGTAAGATCTTCATAAATGGAGAAAAAAGTTCAAGTTGTCAAGGATTTTATCTTGCTTGGAAATCTGCTGCACAAGACCTCTTATTGTATTGAAAATCAAGGATGCTACTTTGAGGTCTAAGGGGCACCTGACCCAGGCCATGGTATTTTCAGTTGCCTCATGTGCATGTGAAAATTGGAAATTGAGTAAAGAAGACTGAATAAGAATCATTGTGTGAATTGTACTGGAAAAGTACCATGGACTTCAAAAGGACAAGTTCATCTTGGAAAAAGTGCAGCCAGAGCACTTAGAGGCAAGGCTGGCGAGACTTCATCTTAAATACTTTGGACATGCCAGGAGAGACCAGTGTCTGTAGAATGACATGCTTGGTAAAGCAGAGTGCAGCAGAAAAGAGGAACTCTCTATAACACGGATTAACAAAGTGCCTCAGGTGGCTCACAGCATAGGAACAAATGTGAGGATGATACAGGACAGGCAGGGTTGGGTTCCCATTGTGCGTAAAGGTTGCTGTGGGTCCGAATTGACTGCACCTGACAAGAACAACAAAGAACATCTAGTCATTGTAACTATCATTCACGTTTCTACACAATAAAACTAATGCTTAAGAAATTAAAGAATTGACCAAATTCCTCAGTCTAATACTGATGAAATATGCCATCAAGATGCATTGCTCATTATTGGCAATTGGAACATGAAAGTTGGAAACAAACAAGGAACAAGCTATAGAAAATATTATGTTGGTGATAGAAACAAAGGTGGATACTCTGTGATAGGACTCTGCAAGACCAGTGACTTCGTTGAAAAGACTTTTGTGAAAGGGGGAGCTGATCGGAAGGATTGGTGTATTAAACACCCCTCCCACGGGGGTGGGGCTGGGTGGGTACGACGGACGAACAACAAACGGGTGAAAGGGGACAGCAAACTGTGTAAGATATGAAAATGATAATTATTTATTAAGGGTTTATGAGGGTGGGAGGGAAAAAAGAGGACCTCATACCAAGGGCTCAAGTAGAAAGAAAATCATTATGGCAACATGTTTACAAATGTACTTGATACGGTTGATGTATGGATTGTTGTAAGAGCTGTAAGAGATCCCCCAATAAAATTATTTATAAAACTAAAAACAAATTTTTCCAACCACCTGATTGGTAACAATGCAATATAGACTTTGCCAGATGGAGTGTAACTGAAATAGTTGACTACATATATAGGAAGAGACAGCGGAGAAGCAAAGTACTATCAGTGAAAACAAGGCCAGGTAGATGTAGTTAGGTCAGAATGTTAATACCTTATCTGGTCCTTCTTTTGACCTGTCTTACGTATCAGTTATCAATATCTTGTGCTCTTTTCAGTTGAGGTTATTTGTTTTTGGTTTGCTTACTGTTTTGAATGATTTTCTGTATATGAAATCCAGGATAAATCTATAGAGACAGTATCTGGATTAATAATTACCTAAGGTCATAGCATAGCAGGGGAGAAGATGGCAGAAATGGGTAGGTAACAATAGAAATTGTGATGTTTATTGCACAACTCTTAATATGATTAAGTTGTATGATTTGTGAAGTCTGTGCCAATTTTTTTTTAAAATAAAAGGCCAGGGGCTGAGTGTGGAATACACAATAAGTTTCTGTGCACATTTAAGTTGAACCTAAAGGAAAGTAAAACAAGTCCATGAAAGCCAAAATAAAACCTTGAATAGATCTTGTTGAATTTAGAAACCATTTCAAGAACAGATTGAACAATAATAAATAAAGACTTGATGAGTTGTGGGATGACATCAAGAACATCATACCAGTAGAAAGCAAATGATCACTAATAATGAAAAGAGCAAAGTGGATATCAGAAGAAACTGAAACTTACCCCTCAACCTAGAGTAGCTAAAGTAAATAGAGGAAATGATGATATAAAAGAACTGAACAGAAATACTGAAAAGGCAGCTCAAGAAGCAGAGCATTGTTAATGCCTGTAGTTAGTGTGAAAACCTGGAGTCAGAAAGGCAAAAAGGAAGAACATAACATGCTCAGCCTCTCTCATGTTGAAAGAAGAAAAGCTCAAGCCTGGGGTTGCAATATTGAAGATTCATAGGTCAGAATTCCGAATATTGCAGGAAGCATCAAGAGAATATCGAAAGAATGCACTGATTTTATTCTGAACAGCAAGAATGGGTGGACCAACCACCATTTCAAGAGGTTACATATGAGGAATAATGAAAAGATCCAAGCCACACCTTCGTGAAAAGCAAGCCTCCAGGAATTGATAAATGGTTCTAAAAGCTGATGAATCACTGATTTGTCTGTCTGTGACAAGAAATTTGGAAGACATCTATGTACCTAGCCAACTGATTGAATGCTATTTATAATTTTACCCATTCCCCCAAAAGTTGACTCAACAAATGTGGAAATTACTGAGCAATATTGTCAATATACATGCAAGCAAAATTTCCCTGGAGAGTATTCAAAAATAGTTGAAACAGTGCATTGATACCTGCTAGAACGTCAGGCTAGATTCAGAAGTGGATGTGAAGCAAAGGACATCATTGCTCATGTTAGATGAATCTGGGCTGAAAGCCGAGAATACCAGAAAGATGTTTACTTGTTTTATTGACTGTGAAGGTATTCAACTATGTGGGTCATAATAAACTATATAAATTGTTGATAAAAATGGACGAAAAGGCGGTCATTCGAATAGACAAGGGAATAAATACTTCATGGCTTAAAATCAGGAAAGCTGTGCAGCAAAGTTAAGTCTTTTCACTATACTTAGTCTGTGTGCTGAGCAAATCTGAGAAGGTGGATTTCATCAAGAAGAAGAGTATCAGGAAGGCTTTAACAAACCTTTGTCCTGCAGCACCTTGCTAGTTGAAAACAAGGAGGACTTGTTGATTTTTAGGATGGATTGTGACTCGATGTAAAGAAAAGTCTTTGTAAACCGTACCAATAGACCAAAGCTGCTTAAACTGCATCCTGACCTCATAATGGATCTCATAAAAATGTGGAGCGTTTGTCTCGAAAAAAAATTACTGAGAAAATTTTTGAATGTGATTTCTTAACATACAGCAACCAAAATTTAATTAAAAACCAAACCATGATGAATTTCAGCGTTTGTTTTGCAAACTTCTGTTTTGCAAATTTATTGAGTGAAAAGAGGTCAATAGTGGACATGTAAGAAGCCCTGCAGTAGAAAACAACAACAACCTAGAGAAAAAGGTTGAAGTTGTCAAGGGTTTGATTTTGCTTGAATCTACAATCGGTGTGCAAGGACGCAGCGGTCAGTAACTCAGAAATGATTGCATGGGGCAAATCTGCTGCCCAACGACTACAGAGTATTGAAGGTGGTGAGGGTGTCACTTTGAGGACTCAGGTGTGCCTGACCGAAGCCACTAAATTTTCAATTGTTTCCTATGTACAGTAGTCCCACCTAAACTTGCATTTCTGCTCCTCTGTATTTTAGATTTCTCTAAGAACAGAATGAACCCCCAAAGTTTTTAGTTATTGTAAAACATACTGGTTTTTTTTTTCAAATTGAATTTTGTGTTGAGCTTGTGGTTAGAATGTGCATAAGAGATGATTTTATAGACTAATGGGAAATAGAAGCCCTGGTAGTGTAGTGGATTGTGCATTGGGCTGCTAACTTCAAGGGCAATAGTTCAAAAACCACCAGCTGCTCTGTAGGAGAAAGATGACGTTTTTTTTACTCGTGTAAACAGTTACAGCCTTGGAAATCCACAATGGCAGTGAGTAAGATATTTCAATCTTTTCGAAATGGAGTCCTAACAGGTAGAGAAGAATATGGTATTGAAAAGCAGATGGGAGAGTGTTGCTTTTTACTACAAGAATTTAACAAAACCATTTTTGGTATTCTCTATTTTAGGTTTATAACCTGGATTTACAATGAAAGATAAAACAAGTAGTTCATTCTTATTGTCAGTTTACTGCACTTAATTCTGTCATTTTAAGAAAGCTATTCAAGCCATGGATTTAGAAATTCTACTTTATTTTTTTGGGCACTTGGTCTAGTAGATCATATGAAGCATCAAATTAAACTTACCGATTTCTTCCCTATTCAGATTGCTAAAGGAGATGGGCTGGCAGGAAGATAGTGAAAATGATGAAACATGTGCTCCCTTAACTGAGGATGAAATGAGAGAATTCCAAGTTATTAGTGAACAGGTAAGAAAACTGGGATCATAAAAGCTTGTTTTCACATCAGGCAAGGAAGACTGGGCTTTCTACTCTCACAAAGAGTTGCCGTCTCCAAAACTTACAGGGTTGCTTCTCAATGGCAGTGAGCTTAGATTTTGGTTTTTCCTTAATCAGAGCAATCTGTTCCTTTTCTTTTTATAGAAATGATTTTTTAATTGTTTTATTAGGGTATTTTGCATGCTTTTATTTAAGGACTTAAAAGGTCACATTTTATGTCAGAATTGCCTCTTTTAAGCAGTCTACACTGATGACTTCTTTAAACCTTGGACTGTTGAGTCGATAGGAATTAGTAGTGTCATTAGGATTTATCGTTCCCCAGAATAGCTTTCTTTAGTTTTGTTTTTATGTGAATCAGTAGCTTCCCAAATAGCTTAACCCTTCATTCTTTTTTCCCTTTTTTAATGCAGAATTGTATACTCTAAAACTCATGTTTTTTTTTTTTTTAAACTCATGTTTTATATTCCCATAATTTACTTTTTGAAAGAGTGTTATGAAATGTTTGCTGGAGTATATAGCCTCCGGAAGATAATAGATGTTGAGAATACATTATATGCTTTTCACACTACATCATTTAGAAATTTTATAGTTTTGTTCATATTGAGTTTAATTTTCATTCCCAGATGTTATAACTCTGCATAGGGCTAACAGTTTAATGAATAGAGAATGATTTCCAGTGTATAGCATTGTGGAAACTGTTCTAAAAATATTTAAGATGACTGTATTCTGGGAGTTGTTCAAGAGTACTGGGAAAAAGCAAGAAAACCAACCAAACAAAAGTCACCCGCATTGAACTTCAGTTGTAGTGGATTAGTTTAGCGATTGCGTCTAGTTACAAAAATCTGGTAAAGCATCATTAGGGAGATGGATTCTAATTGGCCTTTGGTAAGCTAGGGAGCCCTGGTAGTATAGTGGTTAATGATTTGGCCTGCAGTCTGCATGGTTGGCAATTGAAAACCACCCACAGCTCTACAGGAGGAGGATGGCTTTTTACTCCCGTAAACAGTTACAATCTTAGAAACCCACAGGGGGTCGCTATGAGTCAGCATTGATGATGGCAATGAAAGTTTGGTAAGATGAGGGAATGACATTCCGAGTTAAGGAGTGAATAAAGAATATGGTACAGGGTAAGCTGGAGCTTATTGTAGGATCATAGGATGGGCTTTTTTTTTTTTTTTTTTTTTTGGTGAAGGTCATAATAGTAATAGAATGCTTCTGTATCTGTTTACCTGAGTAAGTCTTAGTTTATGCAAGTTATAACAATGCAGTTAATGAGAGCTTGAATTGATTCTCAAAAGTGAATCATTTATAATTTTAATGAAACCGTGTATGATCTCCCTAATAACATTGGTTTAGCTCCAAGTGATTCTGGGTTTTGTGTGTAGATACAGTGAAACCTGTGAGAGTTTGAACTCTTGAGATTGCTTTACTTTTCTAGGTCTTAAAGATTTTCATCCTCTGGCAGGGCATTGCATTACCACTTCTCTCTAGCTCTTGAGTGGAAAATGCTGTACCCACCCCTGGACAGGTTTCCTTACACAGGGTCTGTCTTAGGGAAGTTTTACCTTACTATTATTATCCCTGTTCTGTAGATCAGTGAGGATCATAAAAAAAAAAAAGCCAAATCAATCTCTCTCTCTCTTTCTCTCTCTCTCTCTCTCTCTCTCTCTCATACACACACACACACACACACACACACACACACACCACCCCACCACCCCCCCCCTTGCCCAGGAGGGTTGAGTAAGAGACACGTGGGTGAAGAGAGGTAACAGACAGGGTAAGACATGAAATAACAACAAGATACAATTGATTAGGGATTCACTAGGGTGGGAAGTGGTGGGGAAGGAGAGAGGAAAGGAGGAGCTTGATACCAAGGACTCAAGTAGAAAGAAAATGTTTTGGAAATGTTGATGGCAACACCATGTACAAGTGTGCTTAATACAAATGAATGATGGATTGTTATAAGACTTGTAAGAGCCCCCTAATAAAATGATTAAGTTAAAAAAAATCAGTGTAATTGACTTGATAATGACTTATAGCAACTTTATAGGGCTCGCTAGAGCTGCCCTCGAATTTCCAAGATATGGGAGTAGAAAGCCGCGTCTGTCTCCTGAGGAGTGGCTAGTGGTTTCAGTGGACTTTGCAGATCACAGCCCAACTCGTAACCAGTAAGCCACCGGGTCTCCTCTAAGGCTCACAGAGTTTTTTAAGTATTGGGTAGTGGACTGGAATTTGGACTTAAATCTGACTGACTATAGCATCTGTTCCTTTAGCCAGGATACCAAGGCTGAAAAGATCTAGTAGGGTTAGATCATGAAGGACTTTGATTGTCATGTCAAGATTGTGGATTGTGTTATTGAATAGGGAACACTGGACTTTCTTTTTGATAAGCAAAGTGATCATATTTATAAATGAGAAAGTATAGTATTGTGTAAAGTATACAGTGAAAGGATAGCTTGGAAAACTAGACTCGGATAATTATGTGGGAACTTGATTGCAATACTTAGAAGAGGAATAATTACAAATCTTAAAATGTAGGGAAACGGCAGTACAGGATGGTTTTTATCTGAAATGGGAACCCTGCAGGATTTAACAATATCAAAATTGATCTTACATGTAAACCATAATTAATCTGATATGCAAAGGCAAGTAGAAAAGTATTGCTACTAGGGTTCCAGTTCCTCCGTTTATGGATTTATTCCAAACAAAATGTTTTACATTTAACAAGTCTTTGTGATGAGTGGGTAGTAACAAATTCTTTTGAGTAAATCCTTTCCTAGTCTCAGGGTACCTTCAGAAAACAGAATGGGATTTTGAGGCCCAAACTTCTGTGTAACAAACTTATGTGTACATCTTCCCAAATCTTTGAAGCTTTGCAACACGTTTACAGGAATTCCGACACACATAAAACAGGTTTTTAGATAGATAGAACATCTTAAGGAGAGGTGAAAAGCTTTGATGAATGTAGAGACTGGCGATAGTCCAGAAGGTTGTGGAAGAAGACCACAGAATTGCCACTGATAGCTGCTAAAGTTGGTACCTTATGTGGTTCTTTATGAATTTTGAGGCGAGCATCTTGACCATAGGAAACTTTTGACTTAGTGAACGCCAGCAGCATTGTGCAAAGGTCAGCTGATTCAAAGAACTCGCTTTTCCATCAGCTGCAAAATCTATGCAAATATATTTGATTTTTATGGAACAAATCATAACCAGGGATGAGCCTTGCATTTATCAGTACCATTCAGAGCACACGGTCCATTCAAAACAGTGACTCCCAGGAGATTTACTGGGTCGTCCAAGGACAACAAGGACTGTGCTGGAAGAATTTCGTTGGGAAACCACCCCATTCATCCTACAACCCTAACCTTACTCTTTCAAAGCCCCCTTCACCTCCCCCCCCCCCCCCCCCCCCCCCCCCGCCCCAAAATTAAAGACATAATTTGTGTATGCCAAAACTGACATTTTAACTTAATGAAGAGTGCAGAATTCTTCTGGGAAAAGTTGGACAGGTAGAAAAGCTGCCGTTATGGGTGTATTGAAGAAAAAATAGCTTTTATATTTTGTTTAGTAAAAATGTCCATGATATTGAACAATACTTTTTGACCTACCCTTGTGTAACACGAAAATTCAGAGGAGTAATTAGTTTTAGGAGCCCCTTTCTATATTTGAAATATATAAAGTTAGATATTCTTGGAGAATCCAGACATTTAGGTATATAAATTTGATACTTGAAAGAAATTATTTTTACTGAGATTTTTTCACAGTTGATTTTGGTCCAATATCTGTGCCCCTTCTATTACATTAATATAACACATTAATGTAGCTATTGTGATTTGGTAGGTGGTTAATGTTCTTCCCACAAAAATTATTCTTTGGGATTATTTTATTAGCTCACTTGGCCTAATTACCCCTACATAATCTTCTGGGTTGGATATGAATATAGTAGTTTTATTATATTCATGACTATATTGACTTGCAATATTTTTAACTTGTAGGTTACTCTTAAAGGTTAGTTAATTTGTTAATGTATTTTGCCATTTCAGTTACAGAAGAATGGTCTGAGAAAAAATGGTATTTTGAAAAACGGCCTGATCTGTGACTTCAAGTTTGGACCCTGGAAAAACAGCACTTTCACACCCCCCATTGAGAATGCTGACACAGAGACAAGTAGCAGCGACACCTCTGATGACGACGACGTGTGAAGGATTTCCTAACAGCTTTAGACATTTTAGTGTGATACATCTCATGCAGTTTGGGGTGAATTGTAAAAATGAAGAACTATAATTTATGTAGTAAAATACCCCATTAGAAGATGATTTTTGGGGACTTCAGTATGAAGAAAACCAAGAATATTGTGTTGGGCTGTGTTGAACATTATTTCTTTGTAAATGAATGTTGTAGAAATGAGGACTTGGTTGATCCAACATTGACTTTCTTCATCACTGCAGCATTTCTCTGACTAGCAATGTGACGATGTAACAAATGAGATTTCTCATTTAATAATAAAAAATGTGTAATGTTTTGCAAAGCTTCTGTCTTAAAATGTCCAGGTCTTAAGAAAAAAAAAAAAAAGGCAGCTTACACTGTTTTGCTTGCAGAGTCTATCTTTTCGTACAATGGAGATCAAGTCCACTCTGTGTGCCCCAAACAAGGACAATGTAGCATGCCGGCTAAAACTGGAGCAAGTGCACTAAAACATTAATTTCCTGATCTCAAATGTTGTATTAGTCACCGTTTAAACATAAATTGCTCTTTAGCCCTTTGCAGTGCAGTAAATGGGAAGACTTGCCACACTTCCTTCCAAATTTAAGAGGCAATTTTTCAAGAGCTTTACTTGGGTATGTTGTCAGTCCAGGATTTTCAGAGTTGATGGAAAAGTCTTGTGGAAAAACTTATTTTGATAAATTATTACACATGCAGAAAAACTGATCACATTGACTGGATCTGTCCACCACATGGAAAATAAACTGGATTTTCAGAATGTTGTCTTTCTTTGTAGTGTTCAAAGTATTGGGCTCCAAATACAACATACGCTCATTTATTGAAAGAACGTATACTTTATTAATGATAGATAGGAGTCACCTTCCACGCTTAGAAAAAGAATACTTGAGAAGCAACCATTTCATTATCAATTCCTTTAACAAGCTTATTTAATGAATGTTAACTTTATTTTGATTTGCACATTAATTTCTGAATCTGTTTTACTGGAAGAGCTTTCGTGTATTTGTGTTTTATTCTGATTTGTTTTCCCCTGTTTGCTTTTAGTTTTCGCCGTCTTCCATGTGTAAGTAGATCCTAAATTGTAAAGAGCCTAACCGCAGTAAAAATGCTCTAGGTCTTTTGTCAAGTTGTTTTAACCTTAAGGGTTTCCTTTTAAGAACTAGGTTTCAGTGCCGGCTGTGGGCGTCTTGCTGTTTCCTCCAGCCTGAATCCCTAGCTTTTCACGAGGAGAGCCAGATTTGTTGTTTCTGTTTAGACCATTGGTGATGGAGAACTGATCTGTTTAGACCATTGGTGATGGAGAACTGAAAGCACATAAGTTACACATTTTCAGCCCTACAAAACTTTTGAGGGATGAGTTAGTGGTAATGGTATTCAATGTATGTATATTAGATTGTTTTAAAAAATGGTCTTATACTCTACAACCATTTAAGTTAAATGTAGCAGTAAGCCACAAGAGAATGTTAAAAAGTGGTTGACAAAGATATGTTAGCATCATGTATTTGTAGATTTGGGGTTTTCATGTACTACATCAGAAATGAGATTTATTACTACCGTTTGCATTTAAAATCTTAACCTCCTGTTTTCTAAATAACTTTCATAAAAGATTCTGTCATTTTTATTTTCCGACATCCTTCTTAGATAGTTCTTTATCTAATTCTCACTTACCAGCAGTCCACTAATGTATATTGTGCTTCTGTGATACAGGTGGATAATATTAGTTGTTTACTGCTTATGAATATGGTTAAAGTACAGTTGTGTGACATCTCTAGTAAGAAATCTCATTAAGTTTGTTGACTGAGGAGGTAGTGTCATACATGAAATTTAAGAGAACTCTTAAAAGCAACATAACTTTGGCTTGCTACCTAGATAATGGGCAGCAGGTAGAAAGTTAAGATCATAAGAAAGTTAAGATCATACTGCTTTAAAGGGGGTGCTCAAGTACAGGAACCAGTTAAAGTGCAGATTCCTGTGGAGTGTTGGACTGGTTCTCTGCACCAGATTGTTTAATGACCTTATATTGAGGTATAAGTTGACTGCAATAAATGTATACACTTAAAGTATGTAGTTTGATAACTTTTGACCTAACATAGAGACTTAAGAAATTATTGCCACAATCAAGAGAGTTAATATATTATCCCCCTGAAGTTTCATGGCGCTTCTTTGTAATCTAGTCCTTCCCCCGTTTTCTCCATGTAAACTAGTGAGCAAAAAATAGCCTTTCACAATTTGTCTTGATTTTAAGCGTAGTGTGAAAATATTTTGCTTTTCATAAAGACACTTTTTAGTAAAGGTGAAATATGGAAGTCAATATTAAGTTTATATTGAGTCAAAGTTCACTATTTTGAAAAGTTTTATTACACACCTATTTTTAGTCCTCTTTTGCTGGTACTATATAAATTTAGAATTGTGTGGTCATGTAAGCATTTTTTTTAAAGTATTTTTTAGTTCAAAAGTATGTCATAAATTGTTTAACAAAATTGTAACCCCCTCCTTTCCTTAGCCTGACATTACCTTCTTGATTGCCTGAAAACATATAGATTTTATGATGCGCTTTTATTGGACAAAATGACCTGGCAAATAGTAGACAATTCAAGATTAGAAAACACATGAACATTTTCCTGCAGTCACTTAGGGTTACACAACAAAATTATGGATTTATTGCTAGGGCTTTTAATGATGAGGCTGCATGGTAAACAAGATAGTGTGACTTTTTCTTGTGGACAGTTGCAGGATCTGTGTGTGCCCCGAGGTTGCCCTAACTGTTGGAGAGGAGCGATGGCAGAACCAGTCTCCAGCGCCGCAGAAGATGCTCCTGTTATTCTACCACTCGTGTTACTGGCCTGGCCTTAGGGCTGAATTACGTGTTCAGAAAAATGAAAGGACTCCAGGAAGAGCTGTGATGCAAACAATAGATCGTCCAGGGCACTGGAGTTTGCTGCACACACGAGTTCACCATTGGTTGGAATTTGGAGCCATTCAAAACAACATGGGACACGTGACCTTTTAGCAGTTTGTGATTTAGGTGTTGTGTGATTCAGTCATTACCTGCTATGAAAGTTACAACTGTGCCTTTGTACTTCAGTAGACACCTGGGGTGCTAATAGTTGGCTATTCTGAAAGTTAATCTACCCTTACATAGTACTTGATAAATGATAGGTAATTGAAGTATGAAATGCAGAAAACTGCCCCACGGTGCCCTTTTAACCCGGCCCCCTTGCCGAGACAAGCCATGTTGTGACTCCCTGCTCCCCAGAATTCCTGGAGTCCAATGAATGGAATAGCTTGCAGGGGAGGGCACACAGGACCTCCCCTGGGTGAGGGCTGGGGGTTCAGGAGAACCTCATAACCAGTTCTGGCCTGGCTTCTTGTGTTACTCCCCTCACTCCCTCCCCCCTCCCCAGTAAAAAAGAAAGACAGATAACATGGCACAGTGATAGAGGTGTAGAATGTGATGGGTTATTAGATCTCTCAGGATTTTGCTGTGGCATGCGCTGCAGCCATGCTTTACTTTTCTGTACTGGAGAGAAAACATGATGTAGATGCCAAACATTCCCTCGTGTTTTACTTTGACATGGGGATTTACATTGCAGGCTATTTTTTGTATTCAACAATCTTAACAATTTAATCTCAGGAACTTGCCCTGTCCCATTTTTTCCTCTTGTAGGCTATGAAGTTCCACTTCACCCAAATGAACACCTGTTTACCTTCTAGCACTTAATGCTTCCTCTTTCCCTCCTACCCGATATACATCAATCTTATGTAAACCTTGGTTTTTTTTTTTGTCCCAGTAGTCTCATAAACAATAGTGTCTTTTGTGATTGACTAACCAATGGATCTCAAACATTTGCACACCACCTTCCCTGAAGACTTCAAAAAATACTGGTGCATTTACGGGAAGCAGTTGCTGGGCCTGTTACTGTAAAGCTCCCCGTTGAGATTCTATTGTGATGACAAAAACCAGGCTTACTGCCTTCGAATTGATTCGGTTGCATAGAAGACCCTATAGGACAGATTAGAACTCTCCCTGTGGGTTTTTGAGACAATCTCCACGGAAGTGGACTGCCTCTTGCAGAGGCTTGTGATTTTTCAGTTACCTTGAAGTTAGTAGCCACTAGGACTCAGTGTAGTGACCAAAAGCAACTCTGCCATGGAGTCGGTGACCCTATGGGGGGGACAAGGTAGGACCAAAGTTGAACTTTCACATAGACATGAGGAAATTGAAAATACCATGGCTTGGGTCTAGGGTACCTTAGTGCTCAAAATAACATCTTAGCTCTTCAATACTCGAGATCGTGTGCACCGATTTACTCAATGGAATGCATTGATTGATTTCTCGACTGCCTCCATGAGTTGATTGTGGGTCCAAACAAGACAAAATCCTTGATAACGTCAATCCTTTCTCCATTTATCATATTACCTAATGGTCCAGTTGTGAGGATTTTGTTTTACTCTGTAAAGAGTTGAAATCCATCCTGAAGGTAGCAATCTTTGGTCTTCACCAGCAAGTGCTACTAGTCCTCGCTTTTAACCAGCAAGGTTATGTCGTCTACATAATCAGGTTAAAAAGCCTCCAATCCTATTCCAAAATTTTCTGATTATTTGTGCAGCACACAGACTGAATAACTGGTGAAAGGATACAACCTTTCTTGACTTTAAACCATGCAGTTTACCCTTGTTTTTGAATAACTGCCATTTCATTCATGTATAAGCTCTGCATATAAGCACAATGAAGTGGTCTGGAATTCTCAATGCTATCCATAATTTGTTATTACCTAAGTGTTGATTTCTTTTGCAGAGTCAGTAAAACACAAATCTCTGGTATTTGCTTTTAGCCAAGATCTGTCTAACATCAACAGTGATAACCTTATTCCACATTTCTTTTGAAGTCTTTCTGATTTTTTTGCAGTTCCCTGTCCATGTATTGCAACCATTGGTGAATGAATGTCAGCAAAATTTTACTTGTAATATTAATAATTGTTTTAGTTTCCACATTCTATGGGGTCACTTTTTTTATCGATCGCTTCCAGGTGATTGTCATAGATGAGTGAGTGCTTCTAGTGTTTCATCAGCTTGTTGAAACGTTTCCATTGGTATTTCTGTCCTTTCTGGAGCCTTGTGTTTGGTCAATGCGACCCGTGCAGTTTGGACTTCTTCCTTTAATACCGTCAGTTCATCATATGCTACCTCTTGAAATATTTGATTGTGAACTAGTTCTTTTTGGTAATGTGACACTGTGTGAGACTGGGTACTTTAGAGAAACAAGTCCATAGAAACTTACGTATGAGAGTTTTATATAAAGGGTAAGTGCACATCAAGAAAACATCCCAACCCAGTGCTGCCCAAACCCACAAGTCCAACATTAACCTATTAATCCATATGTCCAACACCAATCCACAGTCATCCTCCATCTCACAAAACACTATGAGGCCGACTGC